TGGGAGGAGTTCGAGTCATACATGCGCCACAACTACAGTTGGTTGACCTGGCGCTGCAGTCTTGCTTGTGCAGTGGCCGTGTAAGCCGTTTGCGTGTTTGGTATGAAATTGGTAGTTACCTTGGAATTGACCGAGGAAGTGTTAGCCTTTGCTGTAGTTTTGTTTCACCGTGCATCTTTTTTTAGGGACATTTTGCTGGTAGACGTCGTCGAACGTCGTCGAGGAGTTTGAGTCATACAAACGCAGCACATCGCAGCACTTATTGGCTTGCTAATTTCGAGTAGTTCAGAACCCTCAAATAGTTGCGTGTTGCGATTACATATTGAGAAAGAGCATTTGCCTTTGGGTTGACCTGTCAGGACCTAAGAGATTGTCGATCCGCCGCCATTTGTTTCACGCAGGCCTAAGCCATTTACTTTTGCGCTACGCCATATCGAGCGAACAAGTGCCTTGTGTCGGTGCGTTCACAGTGGTACTCGGAGCTTGAAGGTCCGCAAGCGTGCGTTGATTGCAGCCCTTTGGGGGCCTTGATACATTGCGCTGCCCGAACTCCGCATTGCATTGTTGGTTTGTGTTGGTGATTGGTTGTGAGCTGCGCTCTATCCCAGTTGCTTGCAGCCATTACATTGCTAGGGCTACATCCTTGAAAGGTACAGCTTGTGTTTACACTGTGCACTGGTCCTTGACAGCGTCGTTGTACATTGGACATTGACTGCGTCTTTGAACTTTGTTGCACTGCATCTCCTTTTTGCTACATTGTACATTGAGCATTGCATCGTTGCACATTGACAACCTTTTTTTTGTGGCTTGCTTCGCCTGCAGTTTCATCTTCGACATTTTGTTGGAGCAATGGCTGAAGACGATAAAGGTTCTTCGGCTTGGTACAAGGTACCAACGTGGGACGGAAACCCCACAGGATTCCGCCAGTTCAAGAAAGAGATGGAATGGTGGATTGCATCATTGGACCCAATTTCCTGTGGAAAATTCAATGTTGCTGCAAGGTGGACATTGAGACAAACAGGAATTGTCAGGGCCAGGTGCGAAGAGTTTCTTCCATCAGAGCTTGAGGGGTCAAAAGAAGTGACAGCTAAAGACCCCGATACTGGCGATGATATAGTTGTTGAGGAAGCCAACCCTTGGAAAGGGCTTCGAAAGTTGGTTGATGCATTGGAAGAGTCGATGGGCAAAACGACTCTCGACCGCAAAGGTGATCTTCGTCGACAATTTTATGTTGAGTTGAGGCGATCGCCTGGAGAACGAATCAGTGCATTTTGTTCCAGGTTCAGGACAATCACTTCGGAGCTCAAAAGGGAAGGCATTAATTTGACTTCCGATGAATTGGGCTGGTTCCTGAGGAACAAGTTGGGATTGGATACGTTGAGAGTTCAGTTGTTGGACGCTGCATTGCGCGGCCGGGAATCATATGAAGAAGTTGAGGGTGAATGCTTGAGATTGTTTCGTGACCTCCATAGTGAGGACCCTCTTCATCGCCAAAAGGCCACAGAGCGTGCACCGTTGTTGAACAGATTCCTCAACCAGTCCCAAGGTTCAGCCTCCTCTTCCTATAGAACCTCATTGCCGTCGAGTGGAGGTTCGTCCTTTGGCAGTCGGTCGTTCAAGAGTTCCAGCTTTTCAGGTGGCTCACAAAGGAGTTTCAAACCTACTCCAAAAGCTCCACCTCGAAGTGCCTTGGTGACTGAGGGCCCAGTTGAAGAGATTGCCGAGGGCGAGGAGGATGAGGAAGAACTTGTTCCGGACCATCCGGATCAGATCGGACCGGCCTTGGAGGAGGTGCTCACTGCCGAGGCGGAGGTTCTGGCCGCCGAGATCCAAGCCTTGGAGGAAGAAGGACTTGAACCAGATGTCCTTGAGGCCTTGGAATCAGGCGTTGAGCAGGCAGCCGAGTCATGCGTGAGGCACGCCGCAAGATCGCCGAGATCAAAAAGGATCGAGGATATGGTAAACAGGGATCCTCGTCCATGCCGAACAAGCCCAAGTTTACGGGCAATCAAGTGAATGGCAAGAAAGCCAAATCCAGTTGCTGGGATTGCGGACAGCAAGGGCATTGGAGTGGTGACCATGGATGCCCAAACCCCGGTGCTGGTTTGTTCAAGCCGAAATCCAATTCGGCAAAGCCTCAAAAGCATGTTAGAGTTGCTGAAGCGTTGACCACCGAGATGGCGGTGGATGCTGATGTTGATGACACCCCAGCCCACGAGGTGATGACCACCTCCCGGGTTAGTCGACCGTCGACCTTGGCCGAAGCATTGCAAGGGTCGCATGAGGTTCATGTTGGACAGTTAGCTTCGCTTTCTTTGGACAAACGTTTGATGGGAGCGTTGGATTCAGCTTGTAACCGGACATGTTGTGGGTCGGCGTGGGTTGAGCATTATTTAGCAGCTTTGCAATCGGCACCTGAGGCTATTCAACAGCTGGTCAGCCGAAGCCAGGAGCAGGAGACGTTCAAGTTCGGTGACGGTGGAACACAGAAGAGTTCAGTTCGGATTCGCCTTCCCATGGTTGTCGGCACGGACCTGGTTTTGACATGGGTATCCATTATTCCTGTGGGGAGTCTTGGGTTGTTGCTGGGACGTGACTGGTTGGATGGCGTTGGATGCGTTTTGAGCTTTTCGAAGAGAGTTATGCGAGCAGATCACTTGAGTGGACATCACATCCCCTTGAAACAATTAGCTGCAGGACATTTTGCACTACGGCTCATCCCCTCGGAGTGGCCGATTCCAGGCAAGATGCGTTGGCGAAGAGTTGGGCAGGATGGTGTTGTCGCTTTGCAAATTTCACATTCAGATTGGCTTCAACGAAAATTGTTAGCAGTGCAATCGTTGTCAACAAATAGTCATGAGCATTTGTTGTCGGAACACAGCGTTTGTGCAGCAAAGCTTGTTGGAGTGAGTTTTGATGATGGAAGCTGTTTTGATGACTTGGCTCCTAGCATGACTCAAAAGCCAACGGCAACCCCAACATCGACTACCTCGACTTCGCGTTCACCCAATCGAGCCGCTGCTCTTGGGATCCATGGAGGAGGCACCCGAAGGCCGCTTCGCCTTCCAGTGGAGGAGGATCATCCTCCGTCTCCGTGCAAGACTCCTATGGCACGTGCACGGCATTTGCTTATGGTTATGTCGGCGGCCTTGGCTTCGATACACGCCATTTCCATACCCTTCCATCAGCAGCATCATGCAATGGCAGCTTCAAGCCCAGCAAATGGTTTCCAACGGAGCCATGTCCAGACGCCATCATCAAAGAGCTCTTCAATGCCAGGCGTACACAGCTGGAAACTTGAAGGAAGCTATGTGGCTCAGGGATCGCCTTGGATGGCAGACATCCTTCGTGGAGGACCCGATGCTGCAGGGTATGCTGGCCGCAAGGTCTTCAAAAGGAGTGGCGAGCAAGATTCGTCAAGAAGCCGTGGCAGAAGCCAAAGCATTGGCCAGCAAGGCCAAAGAGGAGGGCAAGGAGCTTCAAGCGGTGAGGGAACTCATCGGCCCAAAAGGAGGTTTACCGGCTCTCAAAGCCGACCTCCAGAAGCTGGCATCATTGCTTCACGTCTCGTTCAACGAGAAGACGACTGTCGAGCAGCTCAAAGCAGGCATCAAGCCTGTGGTTCAAGCACTCATGGCAAAAGCTCCAGCGTCATCGATGACCAGCAGTTCAAGTGGAGCAAGTTTTCAGGAGGAGCCTCCGAAGCCTTCCAAAGCTCCATCCTTGGGAGAGCTCTGCCAGGACCTGCACCGTCGACGCCTTCGACTACAGTCGGGAGCCTTGGGACAGGAGTCAAAATGCAAGATGTTCAAGAACTTCTTTCGCAACAAGATCAACAGTTCCAGGCAATGCTGAGTCAGGTCATGACCCATATGATGTCCTTGCAGGGGAGTCAAATGCCTGTGGGGATTCAGACTCAGGGCACCATGCGCTACGACCTGACCGCCAAAGATTCCGAGATGGACGGCCACATGACGCATGGATGGACTCAGCAGGAGATTGCAGCCGCCCAAGAGGGAGGATTCATGACCCCCGAAAAAATGCGGAGGTTGAATTGGGAAGTTCAAGGAGACTTGAGGCAGGACGAAGAGGATCTGCTCAAGGGGCCGTTCCTGAACCATTGAATTCATGGGCAGTGCATCAGGAGTTGAAGCCAGGTTTGGCGCAGATGATCAGCCAGGCTTGGGAAAAACATTGCCGGGATCGCGCTCTGATATCAAAGACACGCTATGAAGTTCTCCAAACAATGCACGAGGATTGGAATCACACCATGTCGAAATGCTTCAACGAGCACTTCATCATGAGGGTCGAGATTGGTCCTTCTAAGGGTCCGGCAAGGCGCCAAACAGCTGGTGCGGTGGCTCAAGCCCAGCGGCCTTCGCCCGACCCGCGGGGGATCAAGAAAGGCCCGGACAAACCACCTTTGGTTGGTGAGATCTACACGGCTACAAGCCAGGTTGCTCGACAGGCCAAACTTCGAGGACACCGTGCTGCCACTTCCATGTCGCTTGAAAGTGGTTGGGATTTCCAAAAGGCCGAGGACAGAAAAGCTTGCATTCGAAAGGTCATGGAGGAGGACCCCTTTTGTTTAGTGCTTGCATTTCCATGTGGGCCGTGGTCACCGCTCACACGTCTTCGTGCCAGCTCCACATTGGACGAGAGGCGACAACAGGGTAGAGTTTTGTTGAACTTTGCACTTTTGTTGGCCCGGATTCGGATGAAGAGAGGAGCACATGTTTTGTTGGAGAATCCGCGTTGTTCTTTAGCATGGAGCCTTCCGGAGCTTGCGCAATTTGTTGAGCAGCCCAACATTGAGTGTGTTGATTTTGATCAGTGTGCATTCAAGTTGAGAAGCGTTGATGGTTTGTTGCACAAGAAGCCTACGAGGATTGCCACATCATCATCATGCATTGCTGATGAACTCCAAGGCATGGTGTGCTCCCGAGACCATGCACACCAGCCGGTTATTGGTGGCTCCAAAATCACCAGTCGAGCAGGGCATTATCCGGTTGCTCTTGCAAAGGCCATTGTCAGAGGTCTTGAGAAACAGTTTCATGTTGATCATGGCCGCTGCCGAGAGGTGCTTGCAGTTGATGGGGCGGAGGAGGAACGGTCAGATGATGGAGGAGATTCGGTGATGGACCCCTTCAATTCTGAGTCAGAGATTTCTTCCATGGATGAGGAAGGGTCATCAGAGACAAAGATCCCTTCAGCCATTCGCCTAGCTGTCAAGCGTTTGAGAACACTGGACACAGGTCAAACAGACGCCTGGCCCGAGCTTTGGTGTTGTCAGGAGCTCCCAAGGAGGTGGTGTTGGCTGCCAAATCCTTGAAGTGCAGTATTTGCGATGAAAAGAAACGCCCGAAGAGCAGGAGGCCGACTTCTTTGCCCACGCCAAAAGATGTCTCCGACCAGGTCCACCTGGATATCTTTGAAAGCGTTGATGTTTCAGAACAACGTTTCTACATTGTGCATTGTATTGATTGGACCAGTCGTTTTCAGATGGCAGAAGTTCTGGAGACAAAAGACTCTGATAGCATTGTCAACTGGTTCCAAGAGAGGTGGATGAGCATATTTGGCCCACCACGGGTCATTGTCGCTGACCAAGGGCGCGAGTTCGTGTCCTGGGTTTTCCAAGAGATGTGCGACCGCCATTCAATCCTTTTGCACCACATCCCAGTGCAGGCACCATGGTGCAATGGTGTATGTGAGAGAGGAGGTGGGATACTGAAAGGTTTGCTGGAGTGTTGCGTCAAGAGTCGTTCAGTTGCAGGGCTTGCAGACATGAAAGTTGCGTTGCAAGAGTGCGTGTTAGCATACAATGCAGATATCAATGAACTTGGTGTCAGTCCAGCACAAGCAGCGATTGGTCGACAGCCACGGATGATTGGCGATGTTCTTGGAAACTTTGGTCAGAGGTTGGCAGAGCATGGTTTGATAGATGGCCGCCCTTCATTGGCCAGACAAGTCGCCCTTCGTGAGACAGCCCGCATTGCAATGACGCGACTCCACTTTTCCAAATGGATTCGCAAGGCAGAATTGGCAAGGTCTAGAAGCTCCACGATGACACAACAGCTGGAGCCGGGTGACATTGTGTATTTTTGGAGGGAGTCCAAATACAATTCTCGCACTTCGCCTTCCAAGAAGCGGTTGTCATTGAGGAGATGGCATGGGCCAGCTTTGTTGGTGGCGTTGGAAGGGCATAATGCAGGATATGTGTCCTTCAAGGGACAGCTGTCGAAACAGATTTCAGCTGATGTTTGGCATGATGCAATACAAGAGTGTGTTGAGGCAGCATTACATGATGCCAGCCGCTCCCGAAACGGAGCCCTTTCATGATTTGCCTCCAGTTGCACCAGCCGAGGTTATTCAAGCCCTCGATGGCAGTCGGTTGGATTTTGGAAGTGAGTTGCCAGCATCCAATTTGAGTCGAAGAGCATCAGCTATGTCCTCAGCTGCTCGTGCACATTCAAGGCAATCGAGTGGTGCAGCACCTGGCACACCCGTGCCTGCCTTGATCACCGGTGCCAGTCAGGTTCCGGGTACCCCACCTTTGAGCAGCCGAATGGAGGAGTCAGTTGAAGCGGCCCGAGAGCTTGAGGCCATGGGCAGGAAACGTGCAGCAGAGCTGGAAGCTGAAACACTTCGTGAAGGTTCTGGTTTTGAGGCTCATGTTGCCACCACAGTGCTCAAGAGCATATTGAAGACCAAGAATGACTTAGTGTCACAGTATGCCAAAGCTCACAAGAATGACAGTCCCGTGGAGCCACAGTCACCACACTATGTGGACACCCTGGAAGCTGACATTCGTGATGGGTTGATGCACCCGTTGAAAGCCATACAGCAGCAAGTCGACCGTGACAAGCAAAGCCCAGAGCTGGTTGAAGTACAGGATCATGGGAGCTGGTCAGGTCAGTGGCCTTTGCCGTCCAGGAGCTCTTGGATGGCACATGAAACGTGCTGCGTGCTTTGGCCTTCTGGTGGACACGAAGTCAATGCAGCGAAAACCGCCAGACGTGAGGTCAAGTGGAGGAACATTCCCCTTCACGAGCGTGATGCCTACCGCCAAGCTGCGGAAACAGGATGGAAAGTGCAGACCGACAATGGAGCATTCGAGATTTTGACAGATGCTGAAGCTCACAAGGTCAGAGCCCGGTTGAAGGCAGCAGGACAGTTGAACAAAATCTTGACTCCCAGGTACATCTACACCGATAAGAATGACGGGTTGAGGTCGGACAGCAATCCACTACCGTTGCTTGCAAATGCCCGGGTTGTCATCCCGGGATATCAGGACGAGACTGCATATGCTGTGCGCAAAGATGCGCCAACAAGTTCAAGATGTTCACAACATATCTTGTTCATTACAGCTGCAGCCAAAGGATGGACATTATGGTCAGCAGACGTAAAATCGGCATTCCTCAAAGGAGAGTTGTTCCAAGAGGGCGAACGTGAGTTATACATTGGAAACATCAGGGCTACGTCGCCAGATGAGCCGTTGTTGCCCTTCAGCCCTCACGGACTAGCCAAAGTCCGGAAAGGAGTGTTCGGATTAGCTGACTCGCCCAGACGTTGGTATTTGCGTTTGAACAAGTCATTGACAAAACTTGGTTGGTTGCGAAGCAGCATGGATGCAGCGCAATGGTTCCTCAAGAGTCCCGATGGAACATTGGATGGGATCGTCGTGAGCCACGTCGATGACCTGCTCAGGGCCGGAACGGCCAAAGCCCATGCGACACTCAAGGCATTGGGTGAAGAGTTGGGTTTCGGTTCATTGGAAACTGGCAGCTTCACATATTGTGGAAAGTTGGTGCAACAGTTGCCTGAGAAAAGCATTGAAGTTAGCGTGCGTGCATATCACGAAAACATGCAGCCAGTTTCCGTGCCCATTCACCGCAAGAAGCAGTTGGACGCACAGCTCACACCTTCAGAGCATCGCCAGTTGAGGGCGATCTTGGGGAGTTTACAATGGGTTGTGGCCCAAGTGCGTTGGGACATGGGGTATCAGTTGAGTGTCCTACAAGGAGAGCCTTCGGTTGTCAAGACCCTTTTGAGGGCCAATGCATTGGTGAGGTTGATGAAACAAGATGCTGGTTTCAAGTTGAAGTTCGGGCCCATGTGCTTGGATGGTGCCGGCATCCTCATTGTTTCGGATGCGTCGTTGGGGAACGTGACCCGTTCCGGAGGAGCTGACGGGAGCATTTTCACCAAAGTGTTTAGCCAAGCGGCTTACCTTGTGTTGGTTGGCGATCGAGACCTCATGGAGGGCCGTGAAGGAAAGTTTGGAGTATTAGACTCCAGGAGCCATCGCTTGAGCAGAGTGTGCCGATCCACATTCGGCGCCGAATTGCTCGGTACAGAGGAGGCATTTGATGCTGGCTTGTTTTGTCGAGGCCTCTTTGCAGAAGCCCAAGGCTTTGATGTGTTGAGAGGAGACAGTTGCTATGCTGGCAGCGTGCCCCTTGGCTTGGTGTCGGACGCCAAGGACGTGTTCGACAAGAGTGTGTCGGATACACCGACCTATGGAAGCCAAAAATCTTTGGCTTTCTCGGTTGCATGGGTTCGTGAGGTGCTCCGCAAAGATTGCACCAGGATCCATTGGACATCGACGGAGAACATGCTCATAGACTGCGGCGCCAAAGAGATGAATGCAACGCATTTGAAAACGGTTTTGGACCGGGGCAGTTGGAGCATTACATACAATCCCAGCTATGTCAAGCAAACTTTGAAGCCTACAAAGCCCTTGCTGGCAAAAGCTCGGAACTCCGTCCTTCCAGGCCGCGTGTTGAGTGGGGATGACCCCATCCTGAGCCACTTACAGAAGTTGGCCGAGCGACCGGGTTGGCGTGTCCAGCCTCCGTATGGCATACACGTATGCCGGAACGCCGTCTTGTTTCGGACCCCCAATCCACGATTCTCAAAAGAACAATACCCACTCCGGACTTCGTATGGTAGGTTCGACAACGAGCTTCAAGCGGAATGGAGAATCCTGGAAGACAAGGTCAGGGACGGGAAGCTAGAAAAGATAGGCGACACCGCCTCAGTGCTGGTCACATTTTTTGGTCCTGAAAGCCAAAACCCCAAAGATCAACAGAAGAAGGGATCCGCTGAGAAAGAGCATTTGCCTTTGGGTTGACCTGTCAGGACCTAAGAGATTGTCGATCCGCCGCCATTTGTTTCACGCAGGCCTAAGCCATTTACTTTTGCGCTACGCCATATCGAGCGAACAAGTGCCTTGTGTCGGTGCGTTCACACATATCATATTTGGGAGTGGGTGAAAACCAAGCACCCTCAAACACATTGTAGCTTAAGATCTGGAGTTTTGCTTCCAGGTCTCTTTTTGGATGTCCGGGTGTCATCAACTTCTTCATGTCCTTCTCCCCCTCCCATTGGACGGGCTTCGCCTTCGGAGCCCTTGAGACCGGTGAAGCCGGTCGCTTAGGCGGTGAGAAGTGCGATAGTGCTGTGCGGCTGAGTCAGTGCATTCGAGCCTTTGCAGTCCTAGGCCGGGAGCCCAAGACTTGGTGTTCAGGCTGCGAGCCATGGGATCTGAAGGATACAAGTTGATCCAACATGATGCAAATGTCTCGGATGGAAATCCCAATGGGATAAGTCCAAGGATTGCGAATTCCGCACAGTCCACCCAGTGGATCTGACGGCTTAAAGCTCAAACCTTTCCACCTTTCAATGGGTTCAAGAGCAATTTGTCGGTGGCTGGAGCGTCACTCTGGGCTTGTGGCCCGATGTCACTTGCGGGTGGATATACTCTATACAAAAAGAAGCTACGAGTAACTTGTAACAAAGGGCATATCTACTAGGAGCAGGGACGCTACTAGTAGCTCCTGGCATTACTACTAGGAACAAGAAGCTACTAGTGACAAGAAGCTATGTCGAAATCTTAGTCCTTGGAGCCGCCCTGGAAGTCTTAAAGCACCAACTGTTGCCCTTTTAGCCAGGGATCTTTGAGTTGACCACTTTGACACACGGCAAATCCATGAAATCTCTAGATGACACAGAAGACATGGGCTGAACCTCAATAAGGTACAAAGATCCAAGTCAGGAATTTATGTTCAAGTTTTGCCCAGTACCAGTACCCTTGTAAAGCCCATATACTGTATACAGTATACATATGTTTGACCCTCCCTTCGCAGACTGAGCAGATTGGTCTGAGGCAAGTCGCAGTTGCCTCCCGCCCAATTGGCCGCTGCACAGCTGGTGCAGGGAGACTGGAGTGGCAGCCAGGGACGTGCGCAGCTGGCGAAGGCCGACCAAAGAAGATGCTTCAACCTAAGATCACTCCATCCTGGAAAGCCAGTCCCAACCAGAAATGAATGGATGTTTGACGAGCTGGTTTCTGGACTTCCTCGTGACACAGGGTCAAGGTGGGGATTGCCAGGTGTTGGAGCTGGCGAGCCAGAACTCCGAGTGGGCCTTGGGCCAGGAAGAGGAGGTGCAGGAGACGCCTTCCGGAAGCTTCGATCGCTTTGCGATCGTTTGGCATGAAAAAAGCGACTAAAAGCGACCTGGGTGTGATAGAAGATCAGGGAAGACTTACATGAGGTTGGTGGCGTCGCAGGCCTCCAGGCCTCCTGGCTTTGAAGGGGCGAATGCTCCTCTCCCCGAAAAGCCGTCCAGGAGAAGAGTGTCGCGCCAGACGAGTGCATCGTCTTCCGACAGCTTCGAGAAAGAAAAGGTGGTGCTGGACCCACAGGCCGCCAAGTCGGAAAAGCCAACTGAGCGACCAACATGACACCCCCAAATGTATGATTGCAACAATCCAGTATTATAGATGTTCTACATTGTTCTACCAGATTTTGGCCGTATGTCAACTGGAGGCCTGCTTCGTGATGGGACGAGCGCCAGCTTGAACTGAAGCTCCGAAATTTGAAATAAATGCTGATATAATCAAAGTTATGAAGCACCCTGCAGCTCGGTGCTTGCTTCATGTTGTCAACACCCCTGCGGACGGCTGCGGCAGGCGGCATGGATGACGATGAGGACTTCCATGCTGCGCGGGGCGCTACCATCGCGCAGGCTGCGGCGGATGGCGCTCTCTTTGCGGAGCGCCTGGCCAAGGCCAGGTGTCGAGGATTTGGGCGGATCACGTTGGGCCCGCGAGAAAGAAACTCGGGTCGGGTGCTGTTGGTAGAACCGTTGGTGCGGCGAAATACAGTGCGAGGTGCAGCAGATGACAGGCCTGGCAGACCCTGTCTATGTGGAAGCGTTCCTCCAGGCGAGATGTGATGCAGCGGCTCCCACCCACCCACCCACCCACCCGCCCCGCCCGCTCACCCGCCCACCCAGCCACCCACAAAGAACCAAGCAACCAAAACAACAATACGACCCCAGCTGGAAATCTCCACAACTTACGCTGCAAGCATTGGGTATTCATTCCCCCAGTCTCAAGTCCAGCAAAGGATCCCTGCCATTCGCATGTGATTTGAGACACCTCTTGCAAATGAGGGGATGGAAGGTCACCGGTGACTTTCTACCCTTTCTTCCTGACAGTTTCAAGGAGAGGGTCTCTTGGAACATCCTGGACGAATCACAAATCATACACTTTTCACTGCCCGCAAGAATTTGGATGCCCTTGGACGAGGAGGGAGGAAGAGAGTGGGTGCATTCATACTATTGCGTGTTTTTTATTTATCCGCACAGAGCAGGAATATCCAGCAACAGTGGATGTGCCTGAGAAGTGGCTAATTCTGAAACCACATACACGTGTTGGGAAGATCATCACTTGGACAGGTTTTGGCCACCGCCCTTTTGAAGCTACCTTTTTGACACTGCACAAGTTGTGATCCACTGTTGGTGTGCAAACGAGTAGTTTCCAGGATCCTTCTATGACCCGGCGCACCTTTTTTGAGGTGGATGACTCGCTTAACGACGACACCCGAGATTTGCAGCTCTTTTTGGCTGCGAAAGCTTCCACTTTTCAGGTCCACTCCTTCGACCTGATGTTGGAGCTTTTAGTGGTGAACCGAACCAATGAGACGCTGCAGAATGTCCTGGTCGAGCTCAGCACGCAGGTGGAAGCAAAATGAAGCACCCATATGGTGTTGAAAACACATAACCCCCCCAATTCGATTGTAAAACCTCTGCAGGCTTGGGGGGTTGAAATAGAATTGAGCAAGAGTCTACATTAGGTGTCACTTAAGAATGCACTTGTTACTTATGGCTTCTAGCTACTACGCTACTAGTAGTAATGCCCTTGTTACTAGTAGCGATGCACTTGTCCTTTGCATCCCTTCTCAAAAAGAAGTCAGACTCGCTGGCGACGTGACTCCTCGACCGTCAGGGGGACCTGAAGCTCGTGGATCGACCGTCAGCAGTGACGCTTTCAGCAGGTGAGAAATCTTTGTGTGGTGCCGGTTGCTTTGTGTTCAAGGTTTGACAGGTGAAGTGAGAGAGTGACACGACCCGCGGAGGCCAGCAAATGACGCTGCATGCTTCAATCAAGGCCAGCTTGAGTGTTTTACAGCAGGTCAGAAGACCATAGCTACACAATGAAAGGTCGGAATATGTTGGGATGTTTATTTCATTGGCACTGCCTACGGAATTTGCCCCAAACTGAATTGGTTTAGACGTGTTTAGACCACGCCTTCAATGAATCGTCGGCGCTGATCTCGGAGGTTGCGTCCACTGAAACGGGCATCATCTTTGGATACGTCACCTTCGAAAAGAAGAGTGCTGCACCTTGGTTCAAGCAGTTTGACATGTGTGGCAGAATGCTTTTGCAGCTGAAGTATCAGCTGAACGCTGCCTTGCTGCCCTTCGATTCTTGTTGGATTGAATGGGTCTTCGAGCATTTGCGAGCCCATCTTCCAGATGCCAATTGAACCTGAGCATCCTTAGTTGGGAGTCCGAAAGATCTGGATGCGTCCGGAAGATCTGGAAGCCGAATCTGACTTCTGGTTTTGGGTGTGAACCGGAAGCAATGCTCGAAGCCGGAGGACCCGAAGTCCATTCAAAAGCACAAGCGGATGGTACCTGGACGCTCCATAGTACCCCCTAGAAAATGGGACATGTTGGACAGGACCCTATAGACAGGTCCTTGTACCATCTTGTACCCATTTTCTGAGGTACATGCCTCCAGGCAATATATGTATATATATATATACGTATATGGGATACTGAATCATGGATCAGATGATCATCCAGAGCCTTTTGTCACCTGTGCCTGAAAGAGTCTTGCTCTCTTTTCCAGTCATAGATAGAGTAGAGCGTACAGCTGCAGGAGACCGAAGGTCCCCCTCAAACACGGGATGCGTTGCGTGAGTTGTGTGAGCTGCAACATCTGAGGCAGATAAGGAGTGCTCAGCGAGATTCTCAGCACTTGATACTTTGTATCACTACAAGGAAGGTGCAGTTGTGAAGTGTGCGGTGCAGCTTTTTCGTCTCCCCTGTTTGGATTGCCGATTTCAGGCTTGTTCTTTGGTGATCTTTGGTGGGTCCCACCATTTTGAACCCGCTTCTGAATGATCCTTTGTGTTTAGGTCCTGAACGAACTGCACGTGGATATCCTAGATTATATCGAGCGCCGCTTGGCCGTCGGCGACGGGGCAATTCCTCCGCCTCCTCCGGAGCGGAAAAGGCAGCGATCCGAAGCTGGAAGGGAGACTATGGAGGACTTCTAGAGAAGCAGTCTCTAAAGTACATGCGCTAGTAGGGACTTTGTGAAGAGGATCCATACATGACTATATGACTATGATGTTGGGAGGCCCTTCACTGAACATTTTCCACCGAGCTCCCTTTTGAGCCAGTGTGATGTCTCCTGTTAGTGCCGCTGCTTCCCTCACAGGGCCGAGTTCCGGCCCAGGTTCGTGGATCAACGAGCTGGCCTTCCGTACGATGTGGTCCGAATTTGAGTGGGAGAACAAGGTCAACATCAACACCTCCATCACTGAGGCGGGACAACGACGCTCCAGAGGGGTTCCGCGGACAAAAACGGTTCTTAAATGGAGGCTCGCTTCCGTTTTTGGTGATTTGATGTGATTTGCGAGGAGAATGAACAAAAAGGCCCTTTTTGATCCTTTTTGCATTTTTTTGGAAGGGGATTGGAATCGGGAGGCCCTTTTTCTGCTTGGACGCCCGGACTGTTCAGGAGTTGGTCCTAAGACTTCGGGCGTGTCGTGTAGTTTCCATCTTTGACTGCTCCACCGCTGGTTTAGCGGGTCACTCCGGGTAAGTGTCCGCAAGATCTTGGACTTGGCTGAGGTGGGCACCTTTCTGGAGCACATCATGCGAAATACCAATATGTCGATTGTGGGAAGAAGCTACAAGAAGACTGGCCCAGAGCATAGAGGGACATAGATGAAGCCATGCAGATGTTGGATGTTGAAAGGATGTTGTGTTCATTTTCTTGAGACTCTACAAGTCAGACGGGTGAAGACTCAGCGCTGATGTTCAGATCTCTCTAGATTGGTGGGTGGTTCTTTGTAATTACTTTTCTTTGCTTGAATCCAAACACGCTGAGGTGAAAAGAACCAGAAAAAGGGCAAACTCACTGCAGAAGATGTGCAAGATATGCTTCGAGATGCTGTTGGGATACTTGGGTGCAAGAAAAAGGCCAGCCATACCTTTGTGGGCAACCTTGGTTGAGCAAACTAATCTGCGTGGATTCTGCGAAAAAGTTCACGAAGACGGGTGCACTGGACTGCTTGCCATAATACATTTTTTGACAGACTGCCATGGTGGGGTCATGTCAAACTAAGCCACATGGGCACTCCCAGAGCCAAGGATTAAGAAGCTCATCGACACATCTAGCTTTGTGGCAGTGAATCTCTATGCCAAGTCGATTTTCGGTGAGGACACCTCTCACGTGCAAGCTCAATGCCCGCAAAAGAGATTGAGATGTTTTTGCTTGTTTTTCACTTCAGATAGTTACCAGCTGTGGTTTAAGATGGTTGAAGACGAGAGCTGTGCCAACAGAGCTGGCAAACATACATTTTGTCCTAAGAAACTTGTATTTGCCAAGTATTTGTTGACCAAAGGGGCCGTCCATGTTTCATGCCAAAGACACTGTGGGTGGTGCTCACAGGATGCGCTCGCGAACATCTCCATCGAGAAGCTTCCCGATGGGAAGCTCACAGGCGGAACGGCGAGTCGTTGGAACGATGGGGTTCTGATTCCAAAATCCAGGAGTCGAAGTTTCTTTTGGGCCGTGGTTCATTGGGGAAGAAAGGAAGACAGTATAAAGAAGAAAAGCCAAGCAAAACAAAACACATAACTTTAAGAACAACAAATGATTTGCAGTCCTTTCTGCCCTCTCCGCCATGAACCGACCATCCTTTGGTGACGAATTGGGTCGGACCTAAAACAGCCATCCTCATGCAGTAACCTGGATTCGATTTCGCGAGCCCCTCGGGACGCTCTTGGAGGCAAAGCTCCCCAGCGAGGATTGAGATGTGGGTTTGAGACCTTCCAACCAATGAGTTTTGCGGCTTTGCTTCTTTTCATGCCCCAGCCTTGGGCAGACTGAAGCTCCCCAGCTTAAGCGCGAGAGCCACAGAACAGCCTCTAGACTCTACTTGCAATCACACCAACCAATGGGTTGAGTCTGTTTTTTGGATCTTTGGGAAGATGCCTAAAAAAGGGCATAGGCATAGGGTGTCTCCCAAGTAAAAGACATACCCATGTTGTGGGAGACTCTGCCTGGAAACCCAGTCCAAACCGGAAACACATGGTTGTTCCATGTTGTTCCAACATGGCAATTGAGATCCTTTACATTACAAAGTGGTTGGGACTGTGGACAGGTCCATGGATCTTTCTGGTCTTCTACTTGGCTTTCCAGGTGTTGTTTGCACCCAACCGAGACTCTGCGCTGGCAGGTAGCTGCCGCATTCGATCGCGGACCCAGGGCATTGCGCTGTCATTGGGCGATCGTATTACCATCGTCCAGCGGGGTGTCCAGGCATGGGCCAGTGAGGTTTGAAGAGCTGAAACCGGCGTTTGCAGGCAGAAACCAGAAGGGAGGAAGACTGAAAACCATCAGGTGCTAGCTTTGGGCCCCGCAAGCCCACACCAGTCTTGGCAACATTGAAGTCGGCTCTGTACAAAGGGGCATGTGGCATGTCCAATAGATTTTCTTGGTTCAGAATTTTGCCATCCTAGTATGTCTTCATCAGCATCGCAAGATTCAACAAACCCAACTTCAGTCATGCTTTGTCCAAGGCTGCACAGAGTAGCTGGTTTTCATCACCCAAACTGCCGCAGGTCGCGAGAGAATGAGCCACTTCTTGCAGCCTAGCCGAACCTGGCTGGTCTTTTCAAAGGCAGGTGATGCGCTGGCTCGGAGATGCCAAGTGCATGGTGGTAGTTCTAATGTTAAGTTTCCCTAAAAATCTAGGAACCAAATCATTAGTGCGAGCGCTTCTTCAAGAAGCGCGAGCTATCCTGCGCCGGTAGTGGCTACCTAGCTACTACTAGCTAGAGTAGTACTAGCTACCTACCTAGCTAACCTACCGACCTAGCTATCTCCACGGCCTGGCTACCCCCCGCTGCCTTAAAAAAAGGGCATGGTGCTCGGGTTGACTCCCAAACTAGTCAACGAGATGCTAGGTTCTCCAGCGGACGGTAGCAGAGTTGATCTACTTGGGCTTCAAGTCGGGCCCCTTTTTGTGGCGATTTTTGTAAAGAGGGCCAATGGGCATTTCTTGTTTAACAAAGGCCTGACTGTGTCTGGACCATCATTGTCCGAGAGCAAGACCTTTTGGTTCAGTCTCGGACGAAGGCACACTAGACTCCAGCAGGGTACCCAAGAGCGCCCCAGCGGGCACGACATCTTGTCTTTCGAGAAGATTTTGATCCTCAAACCAGTTCTCCCATCTTCTCGATGAAATGCCTGTGGCGTTTGCTCTTATACTGTAGCAGTTCTGAGCAGTTATGTTTTGGAGTCCCATCCAGGGTGGATCAAAACTTAGGCAACCCCTTTCAGGCCTTGCTTCCGTTCGTTAGGGCACCTGCATGGAGCATCCTGGAACCCCCCAACCAACTCGAGTCCTAACCCTTCCTGGTCTTGGTGATAATCCATCAGTCATTTGGAGCGTCCCTCCGTTGGTGTTTCTTGGGAGGCTGCGACCGGAAGGCCAAGGCGAAAGAAAGCAAAAAGATGGGTCATTCAGGGCAGGGACCAGGGACTTAGCAAGGTGGGTTGGGTGAGTGTGTGCGTGTGGGTGTGTGGTGGACGAAAAGAATACATTGCGTCTAAGGCTTGGGAGAAGATCATGTGATAATTTGTGGGCATCAATATCTTTCTTGCATGAGACTCTGGTGTTTTCGTCTCCTCCTATGAGTTCTGCTGGTCGTTGCAGACGCCTGCTTACCGCAGCTGTGGCCGGACCCCCCCGCATATATGACCTAGCGATGATTTAGCTGAAAAAGAATCAGCGATGGACGATGGATAAGTCTTCTTGGCTTGCTGCTATCTGAACATTCATGATTCCAAAGCTCTTGCCTCATTAGTGTTCTTTTTTCTCGGTTTAATCCGATCGGCCAAAGTCCTGGGCTCGAAACTGCAACGGTCCCGAAAGGGGCTTCTAATTCGAGTCTTCCTGAGCAAGAGAAATACGTGTCGAGGGAAGAGGATCTCTGCAGAACCTGTGCGCTCAAGCTGTTGGGCTCAACGGATCTCAGGTATATACCCTAGGCTTCGGCCCACAATTGTTTTACCAAGGATTTTAGACTTGAAACCAGCGCAGCCATTTTCAACATAGTCTTGGAAGGCCAGGATATACACAACAGCATGTTGATTTTTGACATAATATGACTCACTTGCTCGTCTCGAGGGGCGAAGCTCGAAGTATATGCAACCTGGACCTGACATGGTTCGTACCCGAACAAACATGGTGACCTGAACCAAAGACAGGCACGAACGATATCGAACGATGGTACTTGTACTTTTCTGAGGTACAAACCAAGACTCCAGGTATCAATGCTCTGAGGGCCTTTCCGATTTCGCTCCTTTTGCATTTTTGCCATGCTCCGCATGCTCCGCTGCTGGTTCTATCATCATGTGTGCCTTCTGCTTCTACCAGGTTCGGAGGAGGGTTCAAAGTGAAGAATGTTGAGATTCCGATTTGATGGCTTTGCTCTTCTCATCCAGCCCTTTCAAGCCAATCTCAGTTATTTTTGCTCCAGGCATGTTTCCATTCGGCTCAGACTCCTTCAAAGTGTTGTTTCATTGGATGATCTGCAATCCAACCAAAAGGATCGCTCCTTCTCGGCTCCCGCGGCTGGCAGGTGTTCTGGCACTTGGAGAGAATCCAGCCTGTTGGGTCAACTGGGAGGCGCCTATGGACTCCAGGAAACGGATCAAATTGAAGAGAGTTTACTCTTCTTTTCATTTTGGTTGGATAAAGTCGAGTTCCGCAACTGCGCAGGATTCCGCAACTAGGATTCCGCAACTGTTTGGTCGGATTCCGCAACTGGGATTCCGCAACTGGGATTCCGAAACTAGGATTCCGCAACTAGGATTCCCCAACTAGAATTCCGCAACTAGGATTCCGCAACTAGGATTCCAAAACTAGGATTCCGCAACTGTCAAGATTCCGCAACTAGGATTCCGCAACTAGGATTCTGCAACTGGGATTCCGCAACTGGCGTTCCACAACTAGGATTCCGCACTGGATTCCGCAACATTGTGGACTCCATCACTAGGATTCCACAACTTTGTGAATGATGAGGGACACGATGGGGACAAGGGGGGGTTGGGGGTTGGGGGGGGGGGGGGGTTTGGGGGGGGGGCTAATGACGTTGGTTGGGATGTGCTTCGAAGGTGATGTCACAGGCACACATGCTATCGCATGATGTGGAGATCACCAGTTGCAAGTTTCAGAAGGCAAGTTGCAGAATCTGACTTTCCAGTTTCAGAATACCAGTTGCAGAATCTGACTTTCCAGTTTCAGAATACAAGTTTCAGAATCCCAGTTTCAGAATCCTAGTTTCAGAACACCAGTTTCAGAATCCTAGTTTCAGAACCCCAGTTTCAGAATACCAGTTTCAGAATCCAAGTTTGAGAACCCTAGTTTCAGAACCCCAGTTTCAGAACCCTAGCTCCAGAATCCGACCGATTAGTTTCCGAATCCGGCTCTAACCGCTCCTTTTGGTTTTGTTTGTTATTTCACGGGGTTTCGAAGCGTTCGAGAGGGCCTGGAGAACAGGAACGAACTTCGGTTCAAATGGATCATCGGAGGCACAGAAGATACAGGAAACCGGCGCGGAGTGGTGGTGTTTGCCCGCGACCGATGATTTCGATTGTGGGGTGGTGTCTTTCCGAGGCAGGTTGAAACAGGGCTTTTGGACGCAAGTCAGGTCAACATCACTGAAGAGAATGGTGTTACGAGACAAGGCGATGCCTGCGAAGAGTCTTGGCCATGGTTTGTAGGTAAGAGAAAACCATCAAAAACCAATAGGTTGATATGAAGCCAAGCTTTGCCCAAGCTGTTACAAAGCTTTAAAGGACATAATACATGCAGGTCTTCCGGTGCAGGACACAATAATTAATCGTTCTGCTGCTGGCAGCTTTTAACATTTAAAACTCACCAAACCACAAAAAGTGAAAGTTATTTTTACAGGTAGCAAAGGCATGGGCAGCGATCATCCAAGGAATATCTTGTCGTGACCTTGCTGCTTCTTGGCAAAACAGCATTGAACATTAGTGTATTCGAGCTGGAACGGCGGTAACTTGCCGTTCTGGGTCCTTCAACTTCTGAGGAACGTGGCAGTCTTTTTCCTGATGTTCTGGTTCCTGGTGCGCTTTGCCGTGCAGCAGACACAGTGGCTCGGCCATGCCCTGGAGTATTATTTTTGTCTTCTTTGATCCCTCACCCTCCCTTTTCCGCTTATGATATCTTTTTTTTGAGATAGTTTTCACTCTCTCTTGAGCGCACAAGGTGAGCTGCCAAATTGACCCGGAAAGACGCGCCGGACTCGGACGCGGCTTCGCTCCCACGCGCTCCGCTAGCTGAGCCGGATGGACTGGGTGCAGTGAGCTGGGGAGGGGCAGAGCAAGGAGGACTTCACCCGAAAGCAGGGCCACATGCTGTGCAGGTCGTATGGCAGGGACTCGGGCGCCGACATGGCATGTGGCTTTGGAGTCCACAGAGTGGGGAATGAGGCGAGAAAGATGCGTAATTACTGAAGCGCTGCAGGGCTTGGATGTCACATCATTGAGGTAAAATAAACATTTGTAACAAAAGACTCTTACAGGAACCTAGTATCATGGTGGATGGATGTCACCACTTGGTTGTCAAACCTCTTGTTGTGTTTATCGCCGCAGCTTGGCTCGCAACCACTTTGTTTGAGCCGTTTCATATGAGTCTCGATGATCGGCCTCTTTCTTGCACTGTTTGTGAGACGCTACTAGGAGCAAAGGGCATCGCTACTATATAGGAGCAAGGACGCTACTAGGGGCTCCTGGCCTTACTACTAGGAGCAAGAAGCTACTGGTAAGAAAGGGCACCGCTACTAGGAGCAACCTTCAAGTTTGGCCTTGGACTTGTAAAATCTTGTGACTTGTTTCTTTGGGTGATCCCTTGTTTGCCACGGCCTGTTGGCCTTGCCTAGCCTTTGGTGCGACCAAATTTTCGGAGCTTTGAGCTTTAGGCCGAAATCAATTCGTAGAAGAGGATCCAGGAGCGATTCCCTTTCAAAAGTATGATCTGCCTGAGACTTAAGCCAACTCTTTGCTGCACATCACACATCGTGTCTGCCTGCACTTCCGAGGAACCGACTGTTTCTGAGAACGAACTTTCGCCAGCCATGGCATCCATGAAGGCGGACCGCCAGCCATGACGGTCTCTAAGGTGGTTTCGTAGGTTTTTGGTTCCTGAATTTTACACCTTTGCCCGAAGCAACAGGCCTTGGCCTTGGCTTTGATGATGTCTTGGGTCTTGGCAGTGGAAGAGGCCGACATGTCTGAAGGCAGGGATTTTGGGTGGTGATGTGCAATTGGAAGCGGTTGCTTGGATCTCTTGGATTTCAATCATTGAAAAAAGGATGAAGTTTCGGTTTGGGCCAATCTCAAAGACTCAGACAGGCACCCCCAAGTCACCAAGCTGATGTTCTCATTTGCCTTTTCTACTTGCAAGTGGTGATTTGAAAGGGATGATGACTGAATGTGAGGCTGTTCCACCCAATAGTGTCCTTCCAAGAGGTAAATCACTTGCTTGGCTCAGATCCATCTGCATGCATGGCTCTACTTCAAGTCACCCAAGAGCGCTTGAAGCCTGGGGGCCAAGTGCACGTGCGGACGTTGGCTCCCTCGGTGGCCTCAAGTGGGTTGTCTGATTTGTCCACGATTGGATGATCCTCGAAAGGCCAAGACAGGCACTTTCGCTGGGGTCTTGAGTATTTGAATGGCGATACGATTTTTCCTCACTTGTAAGGTTCCAGACTTGGGCGGATAAGCAACGAAGGCTTTACCCTCTATCATCTCTATCCAACAAACAAAGACGTGGCAACCCCCGGATTATCATACAAAAAAAGTGGTCTTCCATGGTAGACCCCAAAAACCATTGATTTTGCTTTCAGCAGCACTGGGGATGATCCCAGCTTTGCAAAGAAACGGCCTGTTCCATGTTCGATGTGCGTCTCTTCATCCAGATCTGTGCATGGGCCGTTTGAAACAAAGTAAGATAAAAACAGCAATATGTATATATAATATATACATATACTTCCGCGGCCCAAGTTCCATTCCATTTCTGTCCACTCCGCTAAGGAAGCCGGAGGTGCCTCCGACTCCACCACCGTTGCTGTCCTCAGATCCGTTGCCTGCCCACCGGGTGGAGCACATCCACCTGCTTTCGGAGACGCCCTTCTGGTGGATGATGGGTGTGGTGATTATGCTGGTCACAGTGGTGGTCGTCAGGCCGAAAAGAGATAGAAACGACGGACACATGGAGATCATGGGGATGTTTCTTGCGAAGAGGGGCAGAAACCGTGGGGAGCAGAGCATCTCCGGATGGCCGAGCTTGATTGTCTCTCTGTTTGGGGGATGACTGGAGCACCCCCGTAATCCAGAAATCGATGACATATTTTTTTTAAATATTGTGAAATACATTGAAGTGAAATCACAAGGCTTGAAGACACAAAGAGATGTATCAGAGACCTTTTACGGTCCCAATTGGTTTAGTAATTTTCCCTGCTGAGGATCTGGCCAAAGGTCTCCAGATTCT